GTAATTGCGAACGCCCCAAGGCCACCCTTCGGAATCGGAACGACTTCCCGCACACACCTTGGCCTGTTCTCCATGAAGCAAACCCGCTATTTGCGAATGTTCTGATGGGGAAATGGTCCAATACGACGGGTCGCCTTGGAATTTGGCTCTCTTGAGCTACAGTGACGGCCTCCATGTTTCTTCACTACCTAACCAGAATCATTGCCCATTACCTAAGCTGTACCACTTCCCAACCTTGTCTAATCTGGCCTCGTCCATTTTTCAACCCGCTAAGGAGCAATCGAGATCATCTCGGCCTCAGCCAGCTGTAATTCGGGCTGCCTTGGACCACGTCCCTGGACTGTGTAAGTCGAGTACCAGTCAGCAGTAGCCGACACACTTATGACATTGTATCTGGTCAAGCAGGCTTGCACATCCAAGTTCGTATTCGTCTGAGAGTTCTATCATTGCGGGTCTCGTCTAAACTACAGGGTTATAACAGACTCGAAGAGGCTTTGAGGGGAGATGAATGTCCGTGGAAAATCCCGCAGGCTCAGACAAATGTACACAGAATCAACTCTCCGTGGTATACGTACACTCATGACATGGCGCATTTTGCAAACTCCTTTTTCCCTGAACCTTTCCCACAAGAGAAAAAAAGAGATTGCTACAAATGCGAAACTTCCCTCTGGTCCCTGGAATCGCGTGCAAACAGACCACTCATTTGGATTTTGCAGATTTCAAGCTTTCACCGATCCTTTGTTAAACAGCTTATTTGATGATGCGGGTAACCAGACCGGTGGCCACAGTCCTGCCACCCTCACGGATGTTGATGCGCTGACCGGCCTCAACAGCACAGGGGTTGTGCAGGGTGGCCACCATCTCGACGTTGTCACCGGGCATGACCATCTTGGAGTGGGCGTCCTCGGTGCCCTCGGGGAAGAAGAGGGCGCAGGACTCGTCGGCGGTTCGGATGTACATCTGGGGGCGGTAGTTCTCCAAGAAGCCGGTGTGTCGGCCACCTTCCTCCTTGGTCAGGACGTAGAGGGAGACCATGAACTTGGTGTGGGCCTTGACGGTGCCGGGCTTGCTGATGACCATGCCACGCCTGACGTCCTCTCGGCGGATACCACGGAGCAGGAGACCGGAGTTGTCACCGGCGCGGGACTCGTCGCAGGACTTCTTAAAGGTCTCAATGTCGGTAACCTTGGTCTTGATGACCTCACCTCCCTTTCCGACGAGCTCGACCTCGGAGTCCTTCTTCAGAACACCACGCTCGACACGGCCCGAGGCGACGGTTCCACGACCGGCGATGGAGAAGACATCCTCGACGGACATGAGGAAGGGCTTCTCGAGGTCACGCTGCGGGGTGGGGATCCACTCGTCGACAGCCTTCATAAGCTCGTCGATCTTCTGCTCGCCGATCTCGGGTCGCTTGCCGTCGAGGGCGCACAGGGCGGAGCCCAGGATGACGGGGGTCTCGTCGCCCTCGAAGCCGTATGTGCTCAGCAGCTCACGCATCTCCATCTCGACGAGCTCCAACATCTCTGGGTCTTCCAGGGCGTCGACCTTGTTGACGAAGACGACGATCCTCTGGACACCGACCTGACGGGCCAGCAGCAAGTGCTCTCGGGTCTGGGGCATCTGTCCGTCGGAGGCGGCGACCACGATGATAGCGCCGTCCATGTTGGCAGCTCCAGTAATCATGTTCTTGATGTAATCGGCGTGACCCGGGCAGTCGACGTGGGAGTAGTGTCGGGCGTCGGTCGCGTACTCGATGTGGGCAGTGGCGATGGTGATACCACGCTTTCGCTCCTCGGGAGCCTTGTCGATAGCGCCATAGTCGAGGAAGGAAGCGTAGCCCTTCTCGGCTTGTCGCTTTGTGATGGCAGCGGAGAGGGTGGTCTAGTCGCGAGCAATGCTTGTCAGCCAAATGGATCGCGAGTCGAGCTCGAGCTGAGCTTGGGCTGCGAAAGAGCTTGGGCTATGTTTACCTTTCCGTGATCGACGTGACCAATGGTTCCTGCGCGATATCTTGTAAGTATGGCGTTGAAGTAGACTTGTGCTGGAGAAGGCACGAACCGATGTTGACGTGAGGCTTGCTCCTCTCATAGACCGCGTACCCACGGCGCAGGTTCAGGACCGGAGAAGTGGACTGTCGCTGCAGCGATACTAATGGGTGTGCGGATCTGATCGAGGCGCGGGCTGTCCGCAGGAACGGAGCAACGGTTCTGAGAGAAGACATCTTGAAGAAAGGAAAGAGACGGCCACACAATCACAATTAACGGGAGAGGAGATGGTCGAGCCCAGGATCAGGAGAGAAAAGCTGCGGCGGCCAAGAGGGTCGGTCGAGGGCGAGCAAAAGTGAAGCTCTGCCCTCTGCCCGGTCCTGCAGCATCGACTTTTTTGGCGGCGGGACCCACTCTGCCTCGGACTCTAGCGCCAATCATGCTGCAATTGATTTCCAGTCGATTCCCAGCCGAGCAACTACGTCACGTGCACGCGTCTACAGAAGCCATCACGGGTGGTCTATTCCGAACACGGCCAGCCTGCCAGCTTTTCCAGCGCGATGGAGGACCATGTGCCACGAAAGAATGGACTGGAAAAGGGCAAAAGGCAAAAGAAAAAAAAAAGATTTAAGTCATGCAACGGGAATTGAGCCCGACGTGGGGGTCGAACTGAATCGGATGTTAATGGACAAGTTCCGGGACAAGCTGCGAATGGCCGGCTGGATTTTCTCTTACCCCACAACCTTGAGATTTTCTCTTCAGAACACGAGGCTCAGTAAGAGGCTCAGTAAGAGTCTCACGCTCTACCGATTGAGCTAGCCGGGCGTCTCTTGGACGCTTGAGTTGAGGTCGCCGGCTGGAACGCTGACTATACCGGTGTCACAAAGCACAGTACTCCGTCCGGCCTTGGTGTTTCCTGCACATCCGCCTCTTTCTCCGTTTCCAGACCCCGGAACGACAGAACTATTCCCTCTTCCTTTTCCGTGTTAAATTCGATGCTTTCTTTTGCCCCAAGTCTTTTCCCTTATTTCAATATACGGGCTATGCAGGTATTGTTAGACTGGGTTGTGTTTACATGAGTCCAGTGCTTATGGACACCACAATCCTGGTACAACCTCGAGGGCTTCAGGTAAGCTTCTACAGACAAGCTGTGAATTGTTCAATACGGCCCAGGAAGGTGGCCATACACCATTCCCGTGATAAGCCAGTTCTACAGCTCCGGCTTGAAGAGTACGCGTGTTGCCGCCAACAGAGTCATGCCACGAACACCTTCGACATATGCTACATTTGGTGCCTGTGGGCTCCAAGTTCATGCTCATGATTCATAGGTCTGTTGAGAGCCGACCGGACCTTCAAGTACTCGAAAGTCGAGGCTTGATCAATCCAGGATCGATGTTGTCTCATTCGCACAGTGGTCGAGTTCAGAAGGACGGAGTCGCATCAGCTTTCAGTCCTTCTCTTCCACAGTACATGAGACTCGCTGAGGCCTTGCAAGGGTGGATGGCCAAGAAGTCCGGGGCCAAATTCTCTGCTATGTTCGTATTGTTATTCCTAGGTGTATAGTTGTGTGCACCACTACACCCAGACTGCAGCAGTCTTGGCAGCCGTCGCTTGCCACTGCGGCTACCATTTTGACTTTTTTTTGGCCCGCATCCGCGCCTCTAAGCACGGGCCATCTGATCTGCAGAGTACTCGCCAGACCCACTTGAAATTCCTTAGCCGCAAGCGCGCCGACTCTTTCCAGATTTCCCATCCACCTTGCCATCCACACTCAAGCTCTCGACTACGTCAACCCACTCGACTCTTTGCGCAGCCCTTCGTCGCCAACTTATTCTCGTCCAGAGGGCCACACTGAACCCCTTCCACGCGCCTCAGAGCCTCGCCCGGCCTCTCCAACACCTCTCCTCCACAGCCTTCTCCCTCCGCAGCACATAATGGCCATGGACCACGGTCGGGACCCATGTCCCTGGGTCATCCTCAATGACTTTGGTGGTGCTTTCTCCATGGGAGTATGTCTACACCACCCTCCTCCACCCCAGCGCGCCCCCATCCTGGCGATCTAGCTAACGCCCCTCTCCAACAGGCAATCGGCGGCACGATCTGGCACGGCATCAAAGGCTTTCGCAACAGCCCCTACGGCGAGCGGCGGATAGGCGCCATCACAGCTGTCAAGATGCGCGCCCCGGTATTAGGCGGCAACTTCGGCGCCTGGGGAGGCTTGTTCAGCTTGTGCGACTGCGCCGTCAAGGGCGTCCGGCAAAAAGAGGACCCCTGGAACGCGATCGGGGCGGGATTCCTGACGGGTGGTGCTCTGGCCATGCGGGGCGGGTTCAAGTCGGCGAGGAACGGCGCTATCGGTTGCGCTGTGTTGCTGGCAGTGATCGAGGGTGTCGGTATTGGTTTCCAAAAGATGATGGCTGGCAGCACAAAACTAGAGGTAAGTCGCCCTCTGCTCCACCGACGGGATTGAGTCTTGAAGCCCCGTACTGATTGACGCATTCACAGGTCCCCATGCCACCACCGTCACCAAACGGCGAGCAAGTACTAGCATGATCGGCCTCCCGAGTCCGACCTTTTCCTTCCCTTGTTCACATTGTACAACCATCAGCCTGGTTTTCGGAGTCGAGAATCTCCCCACTTCAGAGGAAATATAAGATATGAACTGCGACGAAGCCACCTATCTCATCTTCGGTGTTGTCACTGGCATAAATCGCAATGCTCAACGGCGGAGTTCAGGGGTCCCCATAGAACATAGTCGGAAGAAAGATACGGGTTTAATTAGACCAACACTTGCATGGCCTTTGGTGGTTTCGAGCCCAGGTGAAGCATAGCTCTGACGGCATCTTGGGGGATGTCCCAGTCGCACAGGACGACACAAATCCGCCTGCCGGCTCAAGGTCGAAGCCCTCAAGGTGTGCCCTTGGTGCTCTTGGTGCTCACTAGCGTGGTTTGCCCGAGGGCCTAGCCAAACTTTGACCCCAGGATATAAGTTAAACGTTCTGATGTATTTTCAGGCCGGTAGTATAGCGGTATACGCCCGGGTTTCCTTACTCCTGTGCTAAAGTCACAGTGAGACCTTGTCTTGACTTCGTCTACCTAAGATTTCAAGCACCCCGGGAGATCCAGGTTCAACTCCTGGCTGGCCTATCACTCACTTCTTTTTTTCGCCTCTTCGCCTTTTCCATCGTTTTTCTTCCTCATTTCCCTTCGTTCTCATCATTATATTCACTCAGCTACAACTGATGATTCAATCTCATCTTCACATGCGGGATTTCTTTCTGTGTTCAATACCAAAGCTACGGTCTTTCTCCTATACCTATATCTTACCAGTGCCAGCTAGGCCGCCGTACTCGGATCCGCCGCCAGTGTGATTGAAACCTTTCCGTCATGCCGTCGCCTTCATTTGTCATATCTAAGTGACTGCATGCGCTGTGGGGGGATCCAAGTGATGTCGACTTGCTGACGCTCGATGCAACCGGCGGTCCCTGTGAGCGTCTGGAAGGGGCGACCCAAATAATATCCAGCTGTAACAGACCGAACATGGGGAAAGAACAACTCTTGAGCAGGCTTGCTAGAGTGGCATCCTGGTTTTTATGTGATTGTCCCATTAATGCTATGCAAGTCCTCTCTTTTGTCGTGTACTAATAAAATTTGACATAGCAGAGCTGGGCGGTGCTTGGCGTGCCGGGTGCGAGTCTTTTAGCTGCTGATGAACCATCAAACTTTCTTGAAACAGGCAAAGAAGACGCGTTAGGCATGATAGCGTTATACTTAGGGGTGGTATACAGGCATTTGAACTCCGCCGATAACAAATACAACACCCAGAGGCAAGATCCTCGGTGTTGGCACGCTCTCGTTCTCTCAGGGACAAAGAGGGGGAGGGCGTTGGCACCAAAAAATATGAAGTTTACATCGATCCAGTGCGGAGGAAGGTGGACGGCTCGCATCGACCACCGCACTGGCTTGTCATAAGCCATTCGTGGACAGGAGGCGAGCCATCAGCCCGAGTCCTGAACAATCCCTGGAGAGCGATGCAGAGTGTGCCTTTGGGGTCAACTCTCATCTTACCAGAAATGGGATTACACCCAGAGTGCTGCGCTTCGAGTTCGGACATGTTTATGTCACTCGCTACCGTGCAACTTTGGTACTGATAATTTAGTGTTTCCCCCAAGTGTGTGCTCTCTAGTATGTTTTTATTACAGCGAGAAAGTCTCGGAAGCCAACGCTGCTGCTGCATCAACCTTGAAGACCCTCAGCTTCAAGCCTGGTTCTGCCTGTCAAGTCAGCCTGTTCACTCTTAATCATCACTTCCGTCTTCTTTCCCGCTAATGGGAGAATGTCGTTTCTTACACTGATAATTTCACTGCCTGTCTTCCAGGTATCTAACGCCGGGGTCAAAGCTTCCGGCATCAAGTCCTTGCCCGTGTGCCAAGCATAGCTTTGCACAATACAAGAGAGTCGTGCCCATTACAGATGGACCTTTGCCAAAGTATTGATCAAGGCCGGAGAGCACTTTCAAAGTTGGAGCATTGTAAACAAGCTGTCGATTCACGATTACACGTGCCAACAGAGAGCAAGTAAGCTGCTCCTAAGGAAGCTGCGTGCAGCTGCAAGCTTTACCCAGAGAACACGGGTAAAAGTCCAAATGCCCCTCACGGTCTGCCAGACCGCCGACACTGCATTGGCAAGAATTAGCCTGTCGCCTTCAAAGAACTGCAGGCGGGTGTCTAGAGACAACCTGGTCCATCTACCAGCTCCGGAAAGAATTGTCTGGCAGCCACGGCTTTGGCCAGCATCATCGGTTGTCTCGGCACGGAAGGGTTCCGCACCTACTGCGTAACGTCATTACCACCTTAGCTGATGAGGGTCACACTCTCATTCCAGAGAGCTTTTCCCACTGCTATGTCTCTGGATGAGCACTTGCAAGGGATGTGGTAAATGAAATCTTTCTCCCCGTAGATTAATGCACCGACATGGCGGAGGTTTACCTGGTTAGATTTCCTATTTCGGAGTAGGTTTCCAGACTGGCCAATCGCATGTTATACCTTGGTCGCAAGAAAGTGGGGTCTTGGACAAACTCTGGGCTTGTTCCAACACTTGAGTGCTTACATGGAGGACGGCGTGCGTTGTACGAATGAGTTGGTGGATTGAGAAGACAAATCTTTTATTGCGATCTCTACTTTAAACGTCGAGACCCAGTTCTCTCCAGCTAGCATCATGTTGTCAGAAATAGATCCTGAAAACAAGGGTCGGTGCTGGAATTCAATTTCGACAGCCGAGGGCCATGGAGGGGCACGCCACAGCACAACTCCGCTTCACCCGCAGTACCCGTGTTGCTATAAGTGTTAACAATAAGGTGATGAGGACTGGTTTCTTTTAGTGATACATAACCATCACGGACTTGATCGCACGCGAATCATGTGACAACAGAGCATTTGAGACTGTACTGGTCTTCCGGAGGGCTCCGTACAATGCCCACGTTTGAGTATAGACTGTAGCGAAGCGTCGTAGGGGGCTGTCTTTAAGGGGCAGCTTCATTTGGTCATTCACTACCAGACACTTGAAAATGGAACTGGACATATTGGGATACTGGCCTACAGAGTTCACCCGTCCCCTAGTAATTCGAGCAAGGAAACAACCCCTTGTATCTCCTATATCTGGGTTCAATCGGTCTTACACAATCCAACCAAGGCTTACCGGAACTTGCCACGCCCATTACTTCCCTTGTGCCTATTCGGCCATGATACGTTGTGTTCCTTCGCTTGAGATGATTCACATATGCGGAGTAGAGATCAGAAAACACCCTCGCAGGAGGTACCGAATCAGGTTGTCCCTCCTGATGTCTCAGACGTTGCCTCTCGAAAAGGCTCGAGATTCATTTACAATGTTCAAACTTTTCCAAGATGAAGTCTCTATCCTCATTTTAAAGACCATCAATGGCCATCTCACGGCTTGCGTCAGCCGAGACGATGATCAAATCGCTGTACCCGAGCAATGATGCTGCATCATCTGCGTGCGGGGACATCAGTAAGGCATTTTTAACGTACAAATGGCCTGTACCCATGGGCCAATTGTGCCACAGGAAATGGGTCCAGCCAATTTTCCACTTCGCACAGGTCCCGTTTGAGGTTGTCGATAGGCACGAGCCAACGCCTGGCATGTCCGAGGTCACGGGCGGCAGCGGACCAAGACGACATGCCTTGGCCTGCCAGAAGACTGAAACCGCGCCAAAGAAAAATGTCGGCATAAGGGCCGTTGGGTCGAGGAGGGATCCTCAGGGACGACCCGTGAAGCCCGCTGTTGAAAAAGGCGCGCTGGGGCTCAAGCTGACCGTGGCGTTCTGTGAAAGGCCTGGACCACGGCGCGACTCTCCCTACATACTCGGCTGAGCGTTTTCGCCGATGTCACAAAGCTTTCTGTGTGGCGGAGAAATGTCCTGTTGTTAGTAAGAGAAAGGACAAAGCCCATGGGAGGGATGATGATAGAAAGAGTCGACATAGCAATGATTTATGCTTGTGTACGTCTGTACACATCAATGATCCCGGGTTCTATAAGTGGGAGCAATGCTTAAAACAATGTGAAAGTGGTGGACTTGTTTTCCATGGCCATGTTTTCGGGTGGCAGTGGCTGTGCTGGCGGTTGCTGGTTTGCAGGGTGCAACTAAACTGAGACCCTCTGTCTTCAGCATCAACCGTTGCGAGACCCGACCCGGTGGTCTAAGACACAATCAGGACTAAAAGTTCGTCTGGGTAGGAACCCCCGGCCAATGACAGGCGCTTTGACGGCCCACTTGCAGAGGGAATGTCTCTGACCATCGCCACGGAACACCGATGATGACATAACCCTTAAGCCCCTCCGAGGCCCAGCCCAGGGTGCGTGGGTGCGTGGGTGCGCTTCGCTTTGTCACTGGGAGGCACGCTTTCGAAGGCTGATTGATCCCCTCGACTGTGCTACTCCTTGGTTGATTACTATACAATCCTTTACCATGCGCCATTTCCGCTCCGTGCTTTCCGATCTGCAACCTCGACTGTCAGCCCGCTGATCCTCGTCCTCGTCTTGGTCGGCACGTCGGCCCCATCGCGAACACAAACCCCAAAGTTCCCAACGGCCGAGCGAGCATGGGCGGCCAAGATAAGCAGGTCGCCTTCGAGGACCCTCACTCCAGCGCCAGCGACGAGGATGCCAAGGCCGTTGAGGTACTGACCAACTGCCCCTCAGTGCCCCTCCATCTCCTGCCACCGCCCTGCCCTCACTACTATTCCCAATCGTCACCGTCACCGTCACCGACACCAGGTCGCTTATCTTGTCACCGCCGGCCCGCTGACCAGATAACCAGGTCACCTTCGACACCGGCAGCGTCTACCGTCGCAAGAGCTCCCTCGTCCCCTCCGAAGCCCCAATCCCCAAGCTGCGCCAGCAGCATAACGACAAGACGCAATGCCTCGTCCACCAGTTCCTCGAATCGCAGAAGCGGGCCCGCCACGCGCAGCACGAGAAGGACAGGCAGCATGAGCATCACGTCGACGGCGCCTCGCTGTCCGAGAACGGCGTGTCTGACCAGCGCCTGGTCGAGCCCAAGGGCAAGTGCGCCATCCTCTCCCGGGGTGCCGATGCCGACGCCGGCAGCGACGCCGGCCAGACCGATGAGCACGAGTGGGCCAAGCAGATCGCCAAGTCGACCTCGGACATGGACAAGTCGCACGCCGAGGCCGAACACGAGCTGCACAGCCGCCTTCTGACCAAGAAGCAGCTGAGCGAGATGGCCTGGGGCGTCAGGGAGCTGAGCAGGCGGCTGGGGAGCATGCGGCTCAAGTTCCGCGTGCGCAACGTATTCATATTGACCAAGGTCTACGATCGCGACCTGATACCCAAGACGAGGGAGCTTGCCCGCTGGCTGCTGGATAAGGAGCGGGACGTGAGATACACAGTATATCTGGAGCGGGACCTCAAGACCAACAAGCAGTTCAACGCGGAGGGGCTGATCGAAGAATTAAAGAAGGATTATATACGGGCCGGCGAACTCGAGGAGGAGAATGCCAATGCCATCACGAGGCGCCTGAGGTGGTGGGACGAGCACATGTGCCGGACGAGGCCGCACACCTTCGACTTCGCAATAACCCTAGGCGGCGACGGCACTGTGCTCTACG